TCTCTCCTGGGCCAACCTTGGCTAATTGACTGCCAGGAAACTTCACCCAGAAATTGGGGGTTGTATTCCAGGGTATTTTTTTTCCCCCTGGGATTTATTTCACATTTCTCACTGTTTAATGAACTCGGGGGGTCTCCTGGGAGTCTGTCACTGGGTAGCTTTGCTTTGGCCCTGGGGTGTGTTTGAAGCAAAAACAGGGGTGGAAAACCAGATCTCGAGGTTCTGTTCAGCCCTGCAGGAGCTTTTCCCAAGTATCCAGGTGTGCCCAAACCAGGAATCCTCCCAGATTATGATCTGACCCCTTTTCTTCCCCCCTGTGCCCAGAGGAAGCAGGAGAGGGAGTTTTATTCCTATATTTGGACCTCCCTGCTTGGGCAAAAGAAACATAACCTGGTCATAACCAAAGAATTAAAGAGGAACTTGGAGTTCTGGGTATTAAGAGTCTGAAATTTGTGCATTTTAAGCTCTTGCTGTTTGTTCCCATTTTTGTCACTGGTCCCTGAGGTGCAGCAGCTTTACCTGGGCACTTGTTTTACCTGGGATTGCACGTGATGGTTCAAAATACCCCCTTAATGCCAGCCTTGGTTAACAGGATTTTATGGTTTCTGTTTATTGGAATTCTTGCTACTAATTTTAACTGTTTGCAAGAAGCTTTTAAATTCTGAAAATAACCCCCCCTTCCCTCCCCTCCCCAGTCCCAACATAAATAAGGGTAAATTTTCAGTTGCACTCTGGGCATTTGTGCCTCTCTGAAGGTTCCACAAAACAGGACAAAAACACACCAATACTAAGTTTAGGCAAATATTTTCCATAGAACGCTGCCTCCAGTGTGAATTCCAGTAAATACATGACAGAACTTCCCAAAACAACATCTTCTTTAATTATCTGTATTTCCCTGAAGAAATGGGAATGTTTCCAGCTGGTTACTTGACCTGAGGATTTCCAGTGTCCTGTGTAGGAAATCATCCCTAATAGAGTATTTTATTAACTTTAAATTCAATTCTTCTGTGTTTTATTGACACTCTCTTGTTCCTCCTACTCTTTCCTCAGCTTCCACGTGCCAGATGTGGAGTATTTAAAGTGTGAGGAGCTCTCTGTGTGTTGCCACCACCTCTGAGAGCTTTCAGAGTCTCTAGGAAGGTTTGCTGTCTCCCCTCTGTCCCAGGGAAACATAAAACCATGATTATAAAAGCCAAATATCTTGTGGGAGCTCTGGGGATGAGTTGTGGGGGTTTTTTTTTGGTTGAATCTCATGACTTTGGAAATAATCTGACAAAAAAGCACTTGAGTCTGTCAGGGTTTGGTCCGTGTTGGCATCCCAGAGCAGAGCTCTGGTGTTGGGAAACTCGCTGCTTTATTTCTCCACCTTTCCCAAAGAACCCAGCAGGAGCTGTGGGAGGCAGGGAACTGGGCATGGAAGTGTGGAAATGCTTTTTCCAGATAGGGAATAAGTGAAATTTTACGGATTAGAACACCGGGGTCTGCTCAGACCCCCTTTTTGAGGGTCTGCTTTCCAGTCAGGCAGGGCTGGTAATTCCAGTTTGGGGAGATCTGGGGGAAGCTGTGGCTTGGATGTTCCTTTGGAAGTTGTTCCTGCAGAGCTTTGGGGCAGTTGGGCTGCAGGAAGGACTTTGGTTCGTTCCAGCGGCTCCTTTGCCGTTCCGGTAACCGGGAGGAAACTCGAGGCAGCTCCTTGTGGGACCTGGCAACCAGCAGAACCCCGGGAATGCTGCGCCAACCTTTCCAGCCCTGCCTCAGGAAACCTTTGGCTGGAACAATAGCAGGGGAGCAGGAGTGGAATTCCTGCCTCTGAGGGGTGTTCAAAGGGGCTTCAATCCCTCTCGGCCTCACACACTTCCCAGGAATTGTGCTGCTTCCCACCTGCACCTCTCCAGCGCCGTGGGCTTGGAACATCTGGGACCTGGCACAGCAGAAAAGCTGCTGAGCTGGCAGGTGGCTGCTGGAAAGGGACCTGAACTGTGCTTTCCTTGCCTGGAGTTTTGTCTCTCACCAGCTCCTGCTCCCTGCAGGTCTCCTGGGGGGATGGAGCAGGAATCCAAGGGATGAGGTTGTGCAGGTGGCCCCTTTGCTTGTTTTTCCTCCACAAGGGTGAGGTCTCACCAGCATCCCAGGATTTACTGTGTCCTGGGAGCTGGTGTGCTCTGGGAAAGGCAGAGCTGTGTCGTGGTCCCACCCCAGGGCTCAGGAGGTGACTTGTTTGACTTGGAAAGACAAGAGGGAAGGACCTTGTTCCCACCAAAGGTGGATGGAATGACATTTCCAGGAACTGCAAGGCAGGAAGTTCACTCATGGCATCACTAAGGAAGAATCAGGTGACTCTTTGGTGACTGTTTAGGAGATGACACAGGGATTTTGGAAGTGGCAGCAAAAACTCCTTAAAATTGGGGTTCCTCCACACGAGAACATCCAAGAAAGTTAATCCAAATGAAGATATAAATCCAAATACGGTTTTAATTTGGTTTGACTTAATTCCTCTGCTTGCTTGTGTTCTGGATGAAGGTGTCCACTCAGGGATTTAATTTCATCTAATAAAAGTACTTGGGTTCATATCCTTAATTAGTTTAGGGCGTGCACGTGTTCTCTCCTTCCACGAGCATTTCCAAACGACCTGTAGCCAAGGAATTGGACATCAGGGATGTGTAGGTACAGGGATGGTGTTGCTGAGAAGCCAAGAATCTTCCCTTCCCTGCCTAAAAAGGGAAGCTGGAGTGGAGCAATGTCTTTCCAGTATCCGTCTCTTCCGTGGGATCCCTTGTGTGGAGCGTGGCAGGGAATTCCAACGATATTCCTGCGCTGGGGCTCACAGACAGGACAGCTGGGGAGCCTCAAAATGCTGAATCTTGGGAAACACATCTCAGCTTTGCCCTTTAACTTGCATCAACACTCCAAGCTTGACATCACCCAACTTCAAACCTGGTTCATTTGCAGGTTGGGGAACTTATAAGTTCTGCAATTAAAGCTTGTCCCGATTCGTGCAGCGGGACTTTCATTCCTGCCTCCTCATCCCACTTCCGTGCCTCTCACCACCTTTCTGTTCCACTTCACTTCCCAGAAGGACCAGGCAGAACTTCACCAATCTGTAATTTGCTGTGCAAGAACCACGTGGAGGTGGTTGTCTCTCTTAAAAACACCCAGATTTTTTTTGTGTTTCAAACGCCTGTTTCGCCGGAGTCCTTCTGCTCCTCCTGGAGTTTTCTGGCCACGCTGCCGAGCACGGGGTGAACACGCAGAGCTGGCCATGAACAGCCTGCTGTGGAATGCAGTGTCGTGGCACTCGAGGAATCCACTGATCTCTGGACCAAGAGCGAGACGTTGTTTATTGTTGCTTTATAAAGGTTGTTTCGGGTCCATAAAACTCGTTCTCCGGCGCTGTCGGCTCCGCTCGGCGTCGTAAATGTCCTGGGTGTGAGGCACAGCTGCTGAACGGGGCTGGGTGGGCTCTGGGCAGGCTCACACTCTGTCTTGGGCTGGGTTTATCCATCTGGGCTCAAAGGATATTTTTTTTCCCCGGTGAATTTATCCCTTTTTGTGTTAATATCAGCGTATCCTGGCTGAGATTCCTCACTCCTGGGCTGAAAACGCTTGGAAAGGTTTTGGGAGAGACGGTGATAAAGGGGTTTTGAGCTGTTTAACTCTTTTGCTGCTTAAGTCTAAATGTCTGCTTCTGTGATCCATTGGGAATTGATCCATTGGGAATTGATCCATTGGGAATTGATCCATTGGGAATTGATCCATTGGGAATTGATCCACTGGGAATTGATCCACTGGGAATTAATCCACTGGGAATTAATCCACTGGGAATTAATCCATTGGGAATTAATCCATTGGGAATTAATCCACTGGAAATTAATCCATTGGAAATTAATCCATTGGGAATTGATCCATTGGAAATTAATCCATTGGGAATTGATC